CTTCGCCTCGGCCTTATATATCACGCCGACCAGGAAATCCAACTTTCTGGCCTAGTATCGTAATATACTATTAACCCTCGGGCGGGCAAGCTAAACAAATTACGTAAGCGGGTGAGCGGGTTCCATTGGACCCCGCTTTAAAAACGCTTACAAAAACGTAGATCTTTTTATATATTTTGTTTTCTTTTTATTATATTATGAATTTTAATGCATTAAATTTAAAATATAAAAATTATGATTAAGATTTTTAATTTAACGAACTGTTAGATTTGCGAATTATCCTGGGAAATACACACACCGTTCTGAGTGCAAGGCAGGATTAATTTGTGTAGGCGCGAATTTCTTGAAAGAAAAACACTATTTTGTTATTTGTATATAGCACAATTAGTACAATTTTTATCATTATGACATTGCGGGGTCCTTTGGACCCCGATTGCCAGTTTGTGCTGGTAAAATGTTTTAATACCCACGTGATATTATTTACAGTTGGAATATGAAAACTGTAAAAATATTTTTTCATACGAATTTGGAGAAATTTGAAAAATAAATACTTGCGGGGTCTAATGAACCCCGCGTTCCCGTACAAAGATTAATCAAAGCAGTTTTAATTGATTAATTATTACAGTGCTATAATGTGTAAATAAGTGTTAATTTTAATTGTAAGTGATGTCATTATTTATATAATTTTATTCGTCTATTTCCTTTTTTAATAAAAGTAATTCTTTCAAATACAGAAATTCGGATTCAAATTCAGCGATACCAAAAGCTCCGAGTAATGAGTATCAAGCAAATCTAAACAATTTTTAAACTTTTTGGTCGCCATATTGGATTCGCCATTTTAAAATTCTTAAATCCAACATCAAATTCAGATTATGCGATCCAAAATACTATTTTACACTCATGAAATTGAAATTAAATTTGATTTTGTACCTTCTTTTAAAGTGCTTGTATACAGAGTTCACGATAGAAATACTAAAAATTACTTTTTTCAAAAACGGCCCGATGGATTATTTTAATTTTTATTGCAAAATACTCAGGGAGGTCTGCAGTGTTGGAATCCACAAAAAAATCGCATTTCGGAAGACTTTTTATTTAAAGTTGGTTCAAGCCCACCGTGATAACAGTATGCAACATGTTCTGTCACATAAGCTTGTAGTATATGTTACAAGCATGATATGAGAAATGTCAGCGTTGAACGCTGTAACAAATATATACAACTAATCTAGAACAATTATGTAACAATGATATACGATAATATTCCCTTTTGTAATTCTTTTAACACCATTATATAACAAATATGTAACCAGACTACAATGAAAAAAATATATTTATGGTACTGCCATAAATATGGCCAATTCTCACATATTATATTGGTGGATATGGAACAGCCATACAGTATTGCTGTTCCAGCCATACGCAGTGTAGAACAGCCATATGTATATGTATTTTAGATAAATGATTAAATTTTTAATTAAAAAATATAACTTGTTTAAATAAATCAACTTTTTAATTTTAGAGGTTAAAAAATTGTGTTCTCCATTATCTTTTTAAGATTTTTTTTAATAATTAAATAGAAAACATTTTAAAGTTTTTTGAAAAAAAAGAGATTTTAAACGAAAAAAATGAATTCGTGTTGATTTCATGCTTTTTCGCATGAGTATGATTGTTAATCTGTAATTTTTTTTGGTTAACGTTGTCGAGTTTATTATATTCATTTGTTTCGTTCAAAATCTCTTATTATTCAAAAATTTTTTGTTACTAAAAATATTATATTTTCTAAAGTAATAAAGAATCCCATTTTTTTATGTATGGAAATGGAAAAAGATTAATTTCTTTAACACAAATTGAGATTTATTTGAATCCAAAACTGCTTTGTTTTGATTTAAATCAATTTAGTATTTGAACTAAATAATTAATTATTTGACGCAATTAAAAGTATATTAGTCTCAATTAAAACAATTAATTATAAAGAATAATTGCATATTTGATGTAGATAAATATTTAGTTATTTCAAAAAAATTATTTTATTGATCCAAATAAATATTTAATTTAACTTTATTGAAATAAATCCAACAGTCACAAAGACCAATTACAGGATTATCGGTTATTATTTTAATTTCGAAAATGGCGCAAAACAATTAATAATTATAGCATCGGGTTCTTCTTAATAAAGTGGAGAACTGCTTTTAAAAAAGAATCAAGCGATTGATCAAAGATGTCGAAAGTTGTTGAATTATAATTATATATGCTATTGAGCTCATTGCACATACTTAATACTGGCGTTGTTCTATTTACATTTCTTAATCCCGTATAAAATGGATAAGACCCTCGCGAGAAGAACTGAGGAACAGCAATAGGAATCTCCGATAACAAATATGAGCTATTAATTAAACCGTTAATAATTTTGAATAAAAACAACACTGTATCAATTGTTCTTCGAGATTCAAGGGAGTTTTCATTAAAACGTTGACACAATTGGGCATAGTCTGATCCAGGGGGTATCCATATGCCGTGTTTTTTGTAGTGTAAAAACTTTAAAAATCGTTTTTGACATTTGTCAATGGCACTCGATAAGTAGGCAGGTAAATAATTACGAAATACTACTGAACAAAAAGCTAATTTGGACCGAACTAGAGAATAAAACAAAATTTTTAAAGCATATTCATTTTTAAAATGTTTACAGGTTCTGAATAAGAACCCCAAGATCCTACCAGCTTCACACACGATTGTGTCAACATGAGTGTTAAATTTAAGATTAGGCGTAAAATGAACTCCTAGATCTTTGATGACAAAGACTCTATCTATTGGTTTATCACCAATCTTATATTGAAAATCAATTGCTGTCTTTGCCCTCGTGAAGGTCATTATCTTAAATTTCTTAGAATTAACATCGAGTGAAGCCTTTTTACACCAATCATAAAAATTATCAACATCAAGCTGGAGATCTTCACAATCCTTTATACAATTGATAGGTTTAAACAATTTGGCATCATCTGCATATAACAAAAATTCATTCTTCAAAGCAAACTCTAAGTCATTCATATTAATAACATACAGCATGGGCCCAAGATTGGACCCTTGCGGAACTCCAGAGGTAGGCGTAAATTCAAATGACGAGTAACCATTATAATTAACTGTCATGACCCTGTTAGCCAAATAAGAGCACAAAAGTTTAAGAATTTTATCTGGAACCCCAAGTTGTTCCAAATTAAAAATAATTTTTTCATGGCTAACAGTGTCAAAGGCTTTAGATATATCAGTAAATATGACGTCAACTTGTTGATTATATAAAAGAAAAGTTTCTATTTTGTTTAAAAAAGTTAATAAATTTGTAACTGTTGAGCGACGTGGTAACCATGCTGATGTAAAGAAAGTGAAGGAGAAAAATAGGACCACAAGATATCCCCAATGACAGATTCAAGTATTTTAGAAAAATTACACAATATTGTGATAGGCCTATAATTCACAACAAGAGATTTGTTACAGTTTTTAAAGACAGGAGTTATCTTTTCTCGCTTCCACATATCCGGAAATACACCTGTAGCTAAGGATAGATTAATTATAATATAAAGTGGTTCAACAAATGCATCACAACATTTGCGAATAAAAAAACTTGGTAATCTATCCATACCCGAAGTAAACTTGTTATTTAGGGAACGAATTTTCGATTTAATTACATTGAGACTTATTAGCATTCATATTTGTTTGAAATAAAAACCATATGCATTATTGAATCAAGTAATTAAATTTTCATAATTGATTTAAGGGGTTACGCCACCCTGAACGCATGAAAATCGGATGGTTTTTTAGGAATTTTTTTGCTAAAACTGTTTCAGGTAGGACTTCTTTACAATTATTGATGCTTTAGTACATATATTGAGCTTTATAAATATTAAAAAAAAATTGTTTTTAATTAAAAATGGCGGAGATATAACTATTGGCGTGGATCAATTTTTCCGGAGCACTCCTTGATGGTGTACATGATTGGCAGTTCAATTTTTGTCAGAAACAAGTAAAACAATACTTTTCTTAAAAAGTGATAAATTTTGAACAGAGTGATGAAGCCATTTAAAAAAAAAAATTTTTTACGCAAATGGAAGCACTTCAAAAATTTACATTTTTTTTTGGATAAAATTACCGTATAAAAAATTGGATAAAAAATTTTCAAATTATTCAATCAAAAAAATCCCACGTCACTCTGTGGAAAATCTATTTAGAAAGATGTATATTAATTTTCAAGTCAATCGATTGAATAGTTTTTGAGTTATCGTGTACACCGTCTTGAAAATTGTGGTTTCGAGAAAAACGCAAAAGAAGAAAAAAATGAACTTTAGTGTATTATAACTTGAAAATTTTTCAATGTACTATTTAATCAGCAATTCCAGGGGCATAATTTTTTTTATTTAAGAATGGAAGGGATACAATGAAAAGGACCCTTCCTAAATCATGAAAGGGCCCCCTAGACCATTCGAAAATAGAAAGTCGCTGCTTCCAGCAGCTCTCGGCGCGTCCCCACCGCGCTGACTTCTAATGATCATAACTTTTGTAATTAGTGAGACATTGTCTTCGGCGACATCTCAAAATATTCGTTAGAATATAAACTTTGAAATTAAGCAAAAAAAAAAAATAAATTTTTTTGAAAATTTCAGGGTGGCTTAACCCCTTAAAGCAATGTTTATTAGATCCAATTATTTCAATAATTTTTCTTAAGTAATTTGTATTTGGTACAAATATTAATATATATAATTTTAATAATATTAATAAAATCTAATAATAATTAGTAAAATTTCACTATTTGTTAGTAAAATTATTACTAAATCAGATTTAGAGAGTAAAAATTTCGTTTTCTTACAGAAGTCCTCTTGGAAACATGTTACAAAGGCTTCGGAGATTAAATTACTTTATTTAACTAATATTTTGTCAAAAATGTAAACAGTGACTTTCTTTAAAATACGGCAGAATAATTAAAATAAAAAATGTTACACATTTAATTTACTTACCATTTCAATAAAGTCATAAACAATACTATTTTCTTCTGTATAATTTAATAACAGAGGCATTATACTTTTTAATGCCTTAACTGTGTCTTGGGATAATTTACTTATTGACTTCTTCAATTCATATGTTTTTATACAATCCAACCACGCTGTCACAAAATTCAAAAAATGGTATTTTATTTCTTTGGAATCAAGAATTTTCAGGACAACGCTGTCTATCAAAATAGGAGTTGAAGAACACATTAAGAAATTGGTCATATCCAATTTTTCTTGAGTACAAAAGTTTAGAATAGTCGTGAGGCATTGATATGTTTGATCTTCTTTCCCAAATGTCAGCTTCTAAAAATATATCAATTAATTTTAAAATAAATTTAATTTTTAACTAAAGATCATTAAATTAAACTAATGAAATAAAACTAAATACTGAAAATAATTTAATAAGTCACGAATTAAAGACTTTCTATAGTTTTCGATTTTTATTATTTATTGAGTCTTATTTCAAATTAATTTTAATATAATCCTTGTAAATAAAATCACACTTATGTTTATAAACCAAGGAAGGTTTATTTTAAAGATTTCAAAAATATTAATTAGAAAGGTAGAAATCACATTTTTTCTAAATATTCAAGACATCAAAAATTTTCAAATTTTACAGTTTTTATAATTGATTACTAAATGTTATTTAGTCACATTTTAGCATAATTTTGCAAAAAATACTGTCCTATAACTAAGATATAAGTTTAAAAATGTATTAAAAAAATCGCAAATTTACAAATTTTACATTTTTTAATGGATTGCTTTTAAACTCTCTATAATTGAGTATAACATGTTATTTAGTCACATTTTAGCATAATTTTACAAAAAATACTATCCTATAACTACGATGTAAGCATAAAAATGTTTTCAATATCAAAAAATCAAAAAAAATACTATTACTATCAAGCTTAATTAAGTAGGGGAGAGTCTCCAGTTGTGAGACACCTCCAGTTGTGAGACAGTCAATTTTTTTTAACATGCAATATTAAAAAGCCGATTGGTTTATATAAAAACATTTCTTTTTATATGAGCCAACTTTTTCGTGTACGCCGAAGCGGATATATAAACTGTTTTTGTTAAATACCAACACTGTGTGTGATAATCGACTAAAAAGCGTTTTTTCAATAAATGCAAAGTACTTTTTTTCCAAGTTAATTAATTGGAAAAGGTAAATGTAATGCATTTTCTTTTAGTGTTTTCCTTATATTTCGTGATGCAATATTGCATTGTTCCAATCTACGGTTGAAAATTATTTAATTTTCCTTTTTCAAAATAGCGCCAATTTCTGGGTGTGAGACACAGCATATCACCAGTTGTGAGACAGTGTCAACATCCAGATGGGCAGCATAAAAAATACGACTTTGCAGGCATACTTTTCAAATGTTGTTTTGATTTTTTTTTCTAGTATTTTTGGGCATGTCAAGTGGAAAAAAGTCAATTGATTCAGAAGAAATCAATTTTAATGCTCTTGTTGAAGCTAATAAATTGTGTTTATTTGATAGTCTTATTTTGGCGAATAAATATTATTATTTAGTATATAATAATATATATTATTAATATATTTAATTATTTCTACTAAACATAACGTTTTATGTCAAACTTATTAAATTTTAGCAATTTTTAATGAGTGTCTCACAACTGGAGACATTTTTTTTTTTTTTTGAAAAAAGCGATGTGCTCGGAAAATGTATCGTAAAATTTTTTGAGTTCATCGAAATACTACACTTTCTTTTAATAAAAGTTGCGTATTTCTGTTACCTTTCGAACGGTGTATTTTATTTACAATTTCGTTTACCCGTTTACAATTTACGGGTTCAAAAATGAAACCCGTCTCACAACTGGAGACTCTCCCCTAGTATTTTTGGGGACTCTGATTAAGATTTTGACGTCAAAATAATGCAATTCAGAATTATTTATTTATCCAAGTTATCCAATATTATTTAATTGAAAGAATTCAGAAATATTAAAAATGGAGATGTTTTATGATAAATATTTTATGATAAAAATAATATCGCAGGATGTCAAGAATAAAATGTAATTGTTTTCCACTAATTCGTCGGTAACTGCTTTCAATCTTTCGGAAGGTGACATCACAGTAGAGCTGGAAAGAACAGGGTTTGGATGAGGGCTGTGAGAATTATAATCTTGAAGCGCACGAATTGTACGTACATGACCAGTGCAGTAGTACCGGAAAGTAGGGGGGCTGCTTTTCTGAACAACCACGTGTAAACACTCAGAAAGCTCATTTTTAAACATTAATAACAAATAACCTGTAAGTAGAAATTATTATTGACTTTCCTTATCCCAAATTAAATTCATTTCTGAAATTAATTTAAAACGAGATACTTACACTGAAATAAAAAATCGGCAGAATGTGCTTTTTACTCAGGCAATTTTTGCCTAAGAACAAAAGCAATACACGTAAAGCAATTGTTTCTTTTAAAAAAGGCAATTTTTGCCTTTTAAAAAGGTAAAAATTGTCTTAGTTAAAATTTTTGCCTTTTTAAAAGCAAAAATTGCCTTTTTTTAAAAGAAACAATTGCTTTACGTGTATTGCTTTTGTTCTTAGGCAAAAATTGACTGAGTAAAAAGCACATTGTGCCGAATTTTTTTTTCAGTGTAGGGATATTTAAAAAGGTTTCTTGTTTTGACTTAACAGTACGTTTCCATTTTTAATTGATTTTAAAAATGTCGAAGGAACTTTAATAAAGCATGATTTATAATAATCTTCAGTTCTGCATTATATTATAAATGTGTTTGACTCAATAGATATTTAAACTCGAAAGCCAGTAAAATCTTTTAAAATTCCGCATGCTATAATCGAGAAACTTTTTTAGAAAAAATGTCAACTCACCTTGCTATGATATAAATGGATAAATACATAAAGATAATATATATCTTCTAAGTCTTTATTGTTTTCTAACTTGGTTAATTTTATTACTGGATTATCCACTTGGTTTCTAATAGTAAATTTAACGAATTCTAGTCCACATACTATAGAAGTCTGGTTTTCTTCTAAGTTAATAAGAAACTTATTAAGATCCTCAAACGACTTTTCATATATAGTTTTGCTCTAGATAAACAAATAATAATATTTAATTATATTAAAATATCGATCTTAGATTAAAAGCTTCTACCCAGTGGGAAATTTGCAACCGGCGCGGATCCTCGCCTGAACCGACGCCGGAGTAGTGGCACTGGCTGGGAACCGCCTGCCTACCGCCCGAGAACTGATATTCTACCAAAAGATGACTTGGCCAGGAGCTGGCTGGCCATCCGTCTCGGAACTGGCATTCTACCGCCCGGTAACCGGCCGCGAAGAGCCGTTCCGTGTATAATTCAACCGGCTGGGACCCGGCACTGTACCGACTGCGGATCTTTCATTTCCTAGCCAGATGTGCGCTGGCAATGCTGGCATTCTACCGACTGACAACTGGGTCGGATCCAAATGATAATTTCAACAAATATATCAATAAAAAATAATAATTAATTGCAAAAGATAAATACGAATGACAATTCATTGACAGTTCACTTTACACATTTTTTTATTTCTTTATACACTTAAACGCAATTTTTTATTACATACACATTTGAAAAATCCTAACGCTTGGAGGTACGAACCTACGCCTAACCGAATATTTACGCACCGAAATCTCGCACGCTAACCACTATGCTACGCTCGCATGGGACTCTCAAATCTTAAATACTCTCAAGTGTCACAAGCTGAAATAAAAATTGTAAAATTACTACACGGAGAAACTTTTTCTTCTAATATTGAATATATTTGGTTATCTTTATTCTAAAAGTACGTTAGAATGTGAGGATTTTTCGTGCGTTGTGCTAATAATTTCAACATTAATTCGAAAATATGATAAGTTCGTTATATATTAAGCAACCTTCGGTGTACAAAAATTACTATCTGCATTAGAAATAGTCTTATTTTTCTTTAGAAAAGAATAAAATGCTAGTTTTTTTTTTTTTAGTAATTCTAACCTTTTTTCCACATATAGATAGAATATATAACAGACATTCTAACGTAACATACCAATTTTGGAAGGACTGCGGGCGGACTTAACCGATTTCGCCCGAGCATCACCGAGTCCATCACCTGACGTCGCGAACTAACCCTAATGTTTTCGAAGTTGAAATTCACACGTGTATGAAAGAAAAAAACCTTTTATTAATAAACGTGAATGTCTCCTCATGCCAAATTAAATTCAAGAACTGTTCCTCAATATAACATAATTTTTTTCACGACTTTTACTTATTTACATAATTTGATTAGAAAGTTATTTAAAAAAATGCTCTCTCTCAAAGGTACATATTTTTCCACTCGTTTAATATATAAGGACGATTCAGCTGTGTACTTCTAACGAATCGTGCGATCTTTCGGTTTCCGTGACCAATCGTCGTGTCTTTACTTGCGTGTGCGTGTGTGCGTTAATAATATAGGTTAGGTTCTTACGTCGTGTTAAATATATTTACCTACAGTTACAGTGACATACACTAATGCCATCTACCATCAGATCCAAGTATCACTATCTTCTCTATGAGTATCTATAGACAATTAATTTGTTGTGTTTCTTTTTAATTCATGGCTTTCCCAACTTTGCAAAAATTATTTTTTCTTTCTAAAACAACATACTAATTTTTGTTAGTTTCCTTATGAAGAACTGTAAAATATATACTGAATGAGTGTTTTTGATAGTCTCAATAGCAATTTCTATAACCTATGTCGTTTTTCCCTTGAATCTAACCTAACATACTAAAATGTCTCACCAGTTTTAAGAATTAGTGGTATTAAAAGTTTCTCCGTGTACGCGGCAATAGGCAATTTGGAAATATGAACTGATGTAATACCGGTATATTTTCAATACTTTACTGAATGTGTATTTATGAATATTACAATATTTCGTTTAAAAAAATGTTATATTTTTATTATTATGTTTTTTAATATTTTATTACATAATATATCGAATAATATGAACATAACTTCACTGCAAAACAATTTATAACATATAAGTAATAGTATTAAATTGAATAAAATTTTAATGCACAACACATTTTTTTAATTATTTAATTTGCAGAAAAGTGTCAATAAATAATTACTTAATATATTGTTTAAATTAAAAAGAGATTATTAATTAATTAATAATAAATTAATTAATAATAATCTCTTTTTTATATATTGTATTTAATATGTTAGGTATTTATTGTAGGCATTATAATATATTGATCACATTTTCTTTCAAGTTAAATATATTTTACTTCTTTCAAATTAATATATTATTTATTAAAAATTA